ATGGTAGGTCAGACACAGGTAAGTCAGTCACAGCGTAGGTCGGCCTGGTTGAGTGCTGGGCGTGGAAAATCAGCACGGAGGGTCCGAGATACCAATCCTGTGAGGGGCAAGGAACCGTCAAGGGGCTCTGATAGTCTCTTGGCGGTGTGAAGAAGCCGTAGGAGAGTCGGTATGTCACTGAAGTTGCACGTTGGCCCCCGTTGACAGAGCCATGAGCACTTTGATCGTGGGCTGTGAGCCTAAGCTTGCACACGGCTTGAAACGCGGAGGTGGAAGGGATAAGGAGGATTACCTCTGTTTAGGGTTTCGCAGACTGTCGTGCTTCCGCGGTTTTCGAAGTGACTCAGAAGCGGCGCGGGGATAAAGCGATCTGCAGCGCGTGACAGGCTCGAAATTATGCGAGAGAAGGAGGCGGGAGACGAGGGCCAAGAATACTAGTGACGAGAGGACAGCGTGGAAGATATACGAATAGCAACGAGGAAACGGCGCCACCGTGAGTCGTACTGGACTCGTAGGAACGATTTGATTCACCTTCTCTTACAACGTACGGTTAATATGCGTCACGACTCACCACACACCGGGTACTTGCTAAACTTAGTTGGAGTAGGAAGGAGTCAAAAGCGATTTCAAATCGTCACCCAGCACTCGGAACAAATCCAGTTCGAATTGAGTGCAAATCGAGTTTGGCACATGCATTGGCTTCGAGAACACAACCAATGAGTTTCGTATAGTTACCACCTGTTTTGGAGAAACTGTTCGCCGAGTTTTTTCCGCGGACCGAAGTGCCAAACAAGCTAGACTTGTGTCGTTCTCACGTCAGCCCAGCACGTGCCTTAACCAAGGTACGAATTTTGGGCGACTCTTGTTTCGAAGCCCAAAGCAGCATTCTTTCGTTCACCAGTTACCCCTCTAGATGCCAGTTCGCCAGCCCCGTATTATCGTTGAACGAGTGCTGCACTTGCAATGCCCGGCACACACATGCTCACCGACCGTCTTAGTTTCCGTAGGATCTACGAGTGTAAGGAATTTCACTAATTCCTTACTGAGGCACCTCTTACGCGTTCAATTCCAACTTTTCGGAATTCAGGCTCGGTCCGTCGACCTCGCCTCCCGAACGTCTCCCGCGTCGCCTTCGGGTTTCCCAACCCCAAACCTACACCCAACCTTCGCGCGACTCCGCGACCTCGGCTTAGCTAGCTGTGCTATATTATGCCTAGGCCTCGTTGTTTGCTCAGTAGCTTGTAATCACTTCCGCGATATTGCATTCAGCGCACTCTTCTTTCATACAACTCATAACACCTGGTATCAGAGCTACTTTCCTAGGTTACCCTCCACTTTCCGGAGTAGTTTAGTACAGGGGTGCGATAGGTTTGGTAGGCTGCAAAGCGGTCGGCTGAGAAATAGATACGATTATCTCGCTCCGACTAATAGCGTTTGCGCCTTCATCAAAACCATAAAAATCGCTGTTAACCCCCCGCCCGTTAGACGAAGCCTGCGACACATGGACCAGGCGGAGTTCAACGAGCTCATGCTACAGTTCCGGGCGATGTAGGCTAACATGCAGACTATGTCTGGCGAGTTGGATCGCCTGAGGGTGGAAAACGCCGAGCTACGCCAGACGCGAGGTGAAGCGCGTCAGGAGTCGCCCGCCGGGGATGAAGCAAGTAGCAGTTTCGCACCTAACGACGAGGTCCTCAGCGAGCTACAGAACTCGCTGGACGCTGAAGATGAGTGGACGGCACGGATGCAACGAGCACAAGGGACGCAGGAACAACAGTCACAGCCGCAGCAACAGACACGAGCGGCGCCGAGGCAACAGTCGCAGACTACGCCACGACAGGCAACAGCGACATCCTCGGTGATGGCTTCAATGGCGCCCCCGATGCATGCAGCAGCAACAGTCTCAACAACTGTTAAAATAAAGCCGAAGAACTCGCCCCCGTTCAACCCCAGCGACAAAACCGTCACTGTGTCGGCATGGTTGTTCGGTGTAGAGGTCGACGATAGGGCGACGGGGCCGGTACGTAGGTAGGGCGACGGGGCCGGGGCCGTAGGTAGGGCGACGGGGCCGGGTCGAAGGTAGGGCGACGGGGCCGGTACGCAGGTAGGGCGACGGGGCCGGGGCGCAGGTAGGGCGACGGGGCCTCGGTCGGAGGTGGGGCGACGGGGCCGGGGTCGCAAGTAGGGCTACGGGGCCGGGGCGCAGGTAGGGCGACGGGGCCGAGGCTCAGGTAGGGCGACGGGGCCGGGGCCGTAGGTAGGGCGACGGGGTCGCTAGGGCGACGAATCAAGGGCCGCTAAGGCGGCTCGACGTGGCCGCTAGGGCGGCTCGACGAAGTCAGAGAGGGGAGCGCGACTCGGGCTGAGTGCGCTCCGGGCAGGAAAAAAAAAATCGACTTGGTGGGCCCTAGGCACAGTTCCCACGAGGGAACCTGCTCGATACCATGAGAAAACTGAAACAAGAATGAGTGCACTAAGGAATGGAATGTGGTACAAATATGCAACCCTAGAAATGTGTACCCCATATAGGCTACCCCACTACAGCCTACACAAGATTATAATTTGACAGCTACATCTACCGCCTCGAACCTATCGGACCGATCTCCTTGCAATCAAGTCACTGCAGGAGGGCAGTGCAGGCTGCCCTGCATGGCAGCCGGGTTTCACGCAGGAGATGCTGTTCACCCTTGCTGCTTACCTATGGTCCGTCACACATGCCAATCCATTCCATCTCAGCCCGCTTTCCTCCCTTCTTATTCTTCATATGTATGTGTCTTTTTGTGTTGCATAAGATCGATCAAACGTCTTCCTTTTTTGCCATAAGCCGCCGCATATGTGCTCTTGCCTCCCTCCCATCATCTCCCTCGTTCCACCCATTCCATTTCTCCCGACTGCCAATTTCATCCTCCCTTGCATTCCCCTTCCCTTGCCTTGCCCCTCCCCGTTCCCCCAGGGACCCTGCATGGCAGCAAGGGTGCACTACGAGGAGGTCACACAGGAGATGCTGCTCGGCCTCGCTGCTTACATCCGGTCAGACATTCACTCATGCCCTGCAATCCATCCCAACTAGCCTTCTTCTTATTCGCCATCTGTATCCTCAACACTCGTGCTTCGTTACATGCATTTTGACCACATGCATTTTTTTTTACCCGGCTTGACCACGTGCTTCACACTTTACTAGGAATTTTGACACTCCTGCGAAGCAACCACATGCATTTTGCTCGAGTAACCACATGCATTTTTTTTTCCATAAGCTGCAGAAGCTGAAGGTAGGTTTCTCTCCCCTCCCTCCCTCTCCCCCTCCCTCCTTTTCTCCCTACCTCCCTCCTTTCTCCCTCCCGCCTTCCTCCCTCCCTCCCTCCCTCTCCTCTAGTTTGTCTTTTGAGCTGTTCAAATCACAATAATGCAAGCTTTTGTCTCGCCCCCTTTCTTTTCCCAAGCCCACTCTTTTTCCCGCCGCCCCCTCTCTCTCCGTTTCCTCTTCTCCCCTCCTCTCCCCCCCTCCTCTCCCCCCCCCGCTCTCCTTCCCCTTTTCCCTTCTTCTTCTTCCCGCCCTTCTCCTTTTCCCCACCCCGTCTCCTTCCCCCTTGGCCCCTTTCCTCCCCCCGGCCCCATTTCTGGTGGGGGCTGCCAGGAAGGCGCCGTGGAGTGGGGCACTGTTCGGTGCTCCCTGTGACGGCCGAGCCAGCAAGTAGTGGTTCATTACTCATCCCACCCTCTGGTCTCATTCTCTGCAGTGACTCATTCACATTCCCACTCTCTTGTTTCCTTCTCTGCAGTAATTCATTCTCATCCCACCCTCTAGTCTCATTCTCTGCAGTGACTCATTCACATTCCCACTCTCTGGTTTCCTTCTCTGCAGTGACGCATTCACATCCCACCCTCTGGTCTCATTCTCTGCAGTGACTCATTCACATTCCCACTCTCTGGTTTCCTTCTCTGCAGTGATTCATTCTCATCCCCACCCTCTGGTCTCATTCTCTGCAGTGATTCCATCTCAAAAATGCCGAACCGTCTGTTAACGGTGGTGGCAATATTTCGATTATCACAGGCTTTGGGGAGGGGGTGTTAATTTCTATCCACAGGCTGATGTGGCAAATGCTCGTTTTTGGTTGTTTTATGGCTGTTTTTCACTTGTGTTTGGCGGGGAATCAGCCGTGGCAGCGTAGGATATCGTGTCGCGCTCCATGACATTTCACATCAACGGCCCAAACTCCAACTTTTTTTCGTGCGGTTGAGATCGATTTTGATTTGGCGTGATGTTGTTGTTGTAATCGGAACTAGTCATTGACTGTAAAATTTATTGGGCAAAACCCCAGTGTTTGCAAGCAGAAAACGTGGCATCTTCGAGCGGGAAGATTTTGTGTCGCACAGTGTCTGGTGTTTGCAAGAACGTGATCATAAACAGCCGTTTCTAGAGTACATAAGCAAACAGGTGTATGTCACGGTTCTTGAAATCTCGTGACGCCTTGGTCATACGAAGTCAAAACACACTGTGATATTTTTTTGGGAGTGCGTGGTTTCTTCCTATTGGTCGCATCCAATTCGGTTCTCCAAACAGCACTTTTTCGCTGGCCAACATTTTGAATGACCGTATTGGCTAACGGGAATGTCGCAACGTCACTCGAAGTTCAAAATTCACGAAGTGTAAAATTCACGATGCGATTTGACATGTGTGAGTGAAATGCGCGGCTCGTAAGTGCCCGTCCTTTTTCTTCGGGGGAATGCGGTGCAATACGACGCTGCACAATTGTAAACGCTTTAATAAACAAATAATTCGGTTGAGATGGGTATCGATTGAGAATGATACTAGAATGACGCGCCCTAATGCACACCCCTTCGACTTGAACCTGAATCTCAGCACTACATCTCACGACAACTAAAGTGTTCATACGCTTCACACCATCTCAACCAGGGGAGTATAATATTGATGCAAATCACTCATGCTTTGTTTTTCTTTTTGCCTTCAATACATAGAAATTAGTCCTGCATCCGCCACTATGGAATGCCCAGACTGTAGTTCGGGGCCTTTCTACGTGTATTCTGCTCTAGAATCGCATAGAGGTAGTGCGGCTTGCAGAATAGCTGCTGCATCCAGAGGCGCAGAGGCGTCCGACTCCCCACCAATCCAACCCCCCGCTCAACGTCGGCGCGTGTGGAGTCCTTCCAGCAGTGAAAACGTATTCGTACCACCTACGTTTGATGAGCCAGCCGATGAGGACGGTGTAGATGCGGCAGCTGCTCGTGCCGCCGATGATCCGGAGGCATTCATGGCACGCATGAGTGACTCGAGTGGGATCGACGAAGTTTCTCATATTCCCAACGGATCTAATCCGCGCCCCGCAGCTCCATTCTCCTTCAAGGACGAATTGGCATGCTGGATTCTCCAAGAGCGTGTATCTCAACGTTCGGTAGCTAAATTATTTAAGATTCTTAGCCATGAAGGCGCATCGTGGGCTGACGTTGCGGAATGGAGATCTTCGCGAGATGTGTACCGACATGTGCAATCGAGAGTGGCTGACTGTGACCGTTCGTGGAAGAAGGGGGTCACTCGCGTTGGAACAAAGGCATTCTTGAACTTTTGGTACTGTGACAGCTTGAAGGTATGTTGGAGTGTTTGCTCATGTTTTTTTCAGCGCCCCACTAATCCCTCGTTCCCACATGGCTAAACATTTGCAGGCCCTACAAGATTTGTTGAGTGAACCAAGACTTAGCCATCCGCTTGTTACACGTGCGCATAGAAAGAGAGTGAGGGGCGTGAGGGTGTATGACGCCCCCGAAACTGGCAATTTTTGGAACGACGTGCAAGTGAGTGCCTCCCCATTCTGCTTTGCACCTATCCCTGACCGTTCATAAATATTCCAGCACACCCCCTCTCTCCCTGCTCCCCATTCTGACATGCCCGCCTTTCCCTGCCCCTCCCTAGCCGTCCTTAATTTTTTCCAGCACACCCACTATGTCCCTGCTCCCCATTCTGCTATACCATAATCTCCCTGCCATTCCTTCTCTCCCATGTGCTTCCCTCACGCGCCTTGCCCCGCATTCTGGTTTTCCAGTCCCACTCTACCTCTCCCTGCCATTCCTTCTCTCCCCTGCGCTTCCCTCTCGCGCCTTGCCCCGCATTCTGGTTTTCCAGTCCCACTCTACCTCTCCCTGCCATTCCGTCTCTCCCCTGCGCTTCCCTCACGCGCCTTGCCCCGCATTCTGGTTTTCCAGTCCCACTCTACCTCTCCCTGCCATTCCTTCTCTCCCCTGCGCTTCCCTCACGCGCCTTGCCCCGCATTCTGGTTTTCCAGTCCCACTCTACCTCTCCCTGCCATTCCTTCTCTCCCCTGCGCTTCCCTCACGCACCTTGCCCCGCATTCTGGTTTTCCAGTCCCACTCTACCTCTCCCTGCCATTCCTTCTCTCCCCTGCGCTTCCCTCTCACGCCTTGCCCCGCATTCTGGTTTTCCAGTCCCACTCTACCTCTCCCTGCCATTCCTTCTCTCCCCTGCGCTTCTTTCAATAATCTGGCCCCACTCTCAGTTATTCTAGCCCCTCCCAACCTGTACTTGCTACACCGTCTGTCCCAAGCACATCCCTCTCTCTCACTGTCCTTAACTCTGTAACTATAGCCCCTCACATCCTGTCTTTGTATCTCCCTCCGAACCCTTCTTCCAACCCCCCAACAGGATCGCCTTGGCATCGACGACGTCGTTGCCACTCTCATTCTCTCGTCGGATGAGACAATAGCTGACGGCCGAGGAAAAGCTAAGGGGCATCCCATCTACATGTCATTGGGAAACATTCATCATGAGGATCGCTGGAAGCCATACGGGCATGCGCTCATTGCAACGTTACCGGAGTTTCCGGCGGAGTACACGTCGGTTGACCGACTGCAGATCTTCCAGTATGTCTTGCGCCTCGTTCTTCAACCATTGAAAGATGCTTCACACGTGTAAGTGCCCCCATACTCATCCCTGACCTATCCTGCTCGCCATGCTCGCCACATGATGCACTTCCTTTCAACACTATGGGCCTTGCTTCTGTGACTGCCCTCCTACTCATCTCTCTCCGCTCCTTCTCAGATTGCTGCCCCATGCTTCGCTCTTAGCATTCTTCCAACCTCGCTGCCCTTTTGCGTCCTTTACTTCCCTCCTCTCATCCCCGTACCCTCCTTCTCGGATTGCTGTGCCCATGCTTCCCTTCTCTCTAGTTGTCTTACCTCTTTGCCCCGTTGCCCACATTTCGATTTTTCAGGGGGACCCGTGTGCATGACCAGTCTGGTCACGTTTTCACGGCCTACCCAGCACTATACGCCTATGTGGCGGACTACCCAGAGACGTGCAAACTCACCTGCACCAAGTCTCTAGGTACATTATACCCCTGTTCCTTATGCAAGGTCCACAAAACTGAGTTAGACTCTTTCACGCAGAGAGACGAATATCGCTCATCTGAAGAACAAGATGTCATCTACAAGGCCGTCTCTGCACGGCAACGAGGTGGGCCTCACCCGCAAACCTACAGCACTCATCATGTAGAGGTATGTGCAAAACAATCCACTGTTCTTGCGTCATATACTAGTCATGTTTCACTCAACACTCTCCTGCCATTCTAAACCCAACGCAGTGCGCGCTTCATGGCTTCCGTTTTGAGTCAGAGCCGTGGGGCAGCCCTTATATGGCAGTGATGCCAGACCTAATGCATCAGGCTGATCTTGGCATGCTGGAGCACATTATTGCCGCCTTGAGAGGGGTCATTGATAAAAAATACCACGTCGCCATTGACGAGTACGTTACATCGCTTGACACCATTCTTTCTAATGTTCCACAGTGCATAAGACTAATGTATCTCTCTCTCCTTCCTTGCAGCATCTTGAAGCAGTTGAAGTTGACATGTCGGGTTGATGGTTTGCGCCTACCATCTGGAGAGTATTTCCGTCTAGGTGCTTCGTTCCAAGCTTACGAGCACAGGTCTGTCATGCAAATCCTTCCTTTCCTCATTCGAGACTATGTGGCGAAACCACAGATGGACGCCATTGTGGCATACATCGAGTGGTATCACACGTGTGGAAAGACGAGAGACTAGGACGAGGAAACCTTGACAAAACTCGAGGAACAATCCAAGAGGCTCGTACGCTTTCTACATTGCATGTACATAATTGTAATATGCCCTTCGACCCGACTACATCTTGTGTGAGTGTATTTGCAGGTTGATTGAGCTTCTAAAAAAGAGCTTCCCTCTCTACAAATGGGGATTTATCAAGACCCACTTGATGAGTCACTACATCGACGCAATTCGCCGTGCAGGCCCTCCACTCCACTATGATGCAAGCATGTTTGAGCACTTTCACAAGGACCATATCAAGAGGCCATACCGTGCATCCAACAAGCGTGACGCGGGTGGACAAATCATCCAAGCGGAGGAGGTACGCTTGCAACTGGATTCGCTACCTCAAGCCGACTTGGACACTACACACGAATACAGTAATGCAATGCGTCAGGTACGTATATTTTACAGTGACAATCAAGCCTTACTTTTCTCATGTTGAAGGATGGTACCAGTCTGATTTTTTTATGAACTTTGTACAGGCATTGAAGATAGGAGCACGTACACTCTCTAAGAGTTCATGGGGGTTGATCGTTCACGCGCGTCGTCGCGAGCACCCATATGTCGGATTCTCCAAGCCTGACCCAAAGCGAGACCAATTGTATCTGGACAGCCTACATAACAACCTCCCATATCTTCGTCGTTCCATCAATCGTGACGTACCCAACGACCCGAACATCAACACAATTTACGTACGTTACCCTTAGCACGCATTTGTTTGTTGCACTCCCGGCAACAATGACGTTATGCCTTTACTAATGATGCAATATGTGGCACACAACTGCTGTACATGAGACAAAAGGAACGTGAATGAATGAACTATGAAATGTGTGAGTACAAGTACAAACCCTAATTGGATTGTACCCCCTATGGGATACCCCACTATAACCTACACAACACCATAAGCTATATGTTCTGACACACCCCCATAGGCAAAGTGGGGGAGAACAAGGGGTCACAAGACCAGTCAAGCAAAGCAAAGCAAAGCTCAGGGTGGATCACAAAGTCACCACACAGTCCGAGCATAAGGTCAACGCCACAAGGCCAGTTCACATGCAAGAGGAGACATATATATATAAGGCTAAACAAGCAAGAGCAGGTATATATATATATATGCAAGAGTAAAAGCAAGGTCAAGAGGTGAGCAAGTGAGGTAGGACAGGTACAAGTCCCAGCTGAGTGCAGAAGCGCTGATGATCACAAGGCGGAAGTGCCTTGGTGAAAACATCAGCAGTGTTGGCCTCAGAGGCCACGTACGCAAGTCGCAACTGACCACGCTGCTGCAGCTCACGAGCAAGGAAGTAGCGTATAGCAATGTGCTTCGTTCTGTGCTCCAAGCGCTGCTCTCGACACAAGGCCAGCATGGCCTTGTTGTCTACGTACAGCACTGGAGGAGAACGAGGCGGCTCTCCAAGGTCAGTCAGCAGGTAGGTGAGCCAGCAAAGCTCCTCTGCAGCCATGGCCCCGGCGTAGATCTCAGCCTCACAGCTGGAGCCGAGAACAGAAGACGAGCGAGTAGCCCGCCAAGAAACAGAGCCAGAACTAAGACTGAAGGTGTACCACTGCGACGACCGCTGCGTAGCCTGGTCGTCAGCCCAAGAAGCGTCCGCGTGACCAGTGAGGACCACTGGACTGCGCCCTCCAAGCACTAGCCCCATGCCCAACGTACTGCACAAGTAGCGCAACATCCGCTTCACTACAGCCATGTGCTCTGGTCGGTGTCTCCCAGGAGCAACATAGCGTGCAAGAATGCTAAGAGGGTATGCAAGGTCAGGTCGTGTGCAGGTCATTAGGTACATGAGGCAGCCAACAAGCTCTGGGTACGAGCCACTCGACTCTACGGACTCATCCGAAGGCAGAGCTGAGAGCGAGTGGCGAGTAGCCAGAGGAGTGGCCTGAGGCGAGGAGTACGTGAAGCCGAAGCGCTGAAGGGCCTGCTGCACCATGTGTGACTGAGTCAAGGTAATGGTGCGGCGTGCTCTGTCCCGAGTGATTTGCAAGCCAAGGTAGCTGCGCAGTTCACCCAGGTCTGTGCACGTGTGTCTCTTCAGCAGCTCGGACTTCACGTAGGCGAGTCCAGCAGTGTCAGCAGTGGCAAAGACCAAGTCGTCGACGTACACGAGGATGTAGAACGGCGGGAGAGAAGTGTCGGTGCGCAGAAACAACGACGGGTCAGCAGTAGAGGAAGCAAACCCAAGAGCCGCAAGTGTAGTCCCCAGTGTGTCGTGCCACTCACGCGGTGCCTGGCGGAGACCGTAGACTGGCCGTCGGAGGCTCCACTGGGTGCCAGGAGGGAAAGTCCCAGTGAAGCCAGGCGGACAGGGCAGCCAGATCTCCTCGTGCAGGCTGCCCTGCAAGAAAGCAGTGCTGAAGTCAAGAGAGTGAAGCTCGTAGTCGCGCTGAGCGGCTATGTGCAGCAGCACCCAAAGAGTAGTCATCTTTGGGGTGGGAGAGAAGGTCTGAAAGTAGTCAACTCCCTGCCGCTAACTGAAGCCACGAGCAACGTACCGCGCCTTGAAGACAGGTGGAGAGCCAGGCGGCCGCTTCACCCTGAAGATCCACATGCCACTGACGATGTTCGCCCCAGGAGGGGGAACCTCGTCAACGTAGGTGCCTGTGGACTTCTAGGAAGCCATCTTTGCATCCATAGCTGCCTGCCACTAAGAGGAGTAGGGACCCTCTACGGCCTCCGTGTAAGAACGCGGAGTCGGGATGTCTAGTGCATCCGGGTCTCCCTCAGGGGCAAGTAGTACAGACGCGAGATGAGGTGAAGCAGCAGCCAGACACTGGAACTCCTCCTGCCTGTCCTCAAGGACGTCCGTGTCAAGAGCACACTCACCCCGGACGGACGGAGGACAGACAGACGCAGACCCAGCAACAAGACTAGCAGCGTAGTCTAGACGACAGCGAGCAGCAAAGTCGACGAGCTCAGCGACAAGAGCAGACGCAGCAGTGGACTCGAAAGAGGGGTCAGTGACGACAGTAGCAAGAAGACGCGTGACATTAGGACTGGCAGCACGAAGAGAGTCTGACTCCGGGTCGGAAAGCGCAGGAAGAGAAGACTGAGGAGGAGAAGGCAAAGGGGCACGTAGAGGAGCAGTGGACGGATGCAGAGACATCCGGTGCGTGCCAGGGACAGGAGGAGGACGCTGACGCGAACTGCGACCACTAGTGCGAGCAGCACGAACAGGCGACGCGGGACGAGATGCAGGCTCACGACGCTCAGCGAGACCTCCAGTAGGACCAGTGTAAGGAGAGGGAGCAGGCAGTGGGGAGGCCGGCTCTAACAGTGACGGCGACTGGACAGACGGCGAACACTCTACAGAAGGAGGAAGACCAAGAACCTGCTGCACGAGCGGAACGAAGTACGATCGAGGCCGCGCGGGGACTCCAGACACAGCAGGGACAGCACCAGAACCCTCAGCAGCAGCACCACCGCCAACAGCACCACCAGCGGCAGGACCACCGCCAGGACAGACAGAAGCAGTCTCAGCACCAACACCCTCAGCAGCTCCAGCTCCAGGAGGACCCGCAGGCCCAGCAGCTCCGGGACCGGCGGCACCAGTACCCTCAGCGGCCGAAGAAGCACCAGCATCAGTAGTACGCCCCTAGCGTCGAGAAAACCACTCGCGCAGCTCCTGTGGAGAGAGCGGCTCCCGCCGAGACAGAGCACCCGGAGAACCTCTAGGCCCAGCACCGCCAGACGCCACAAGGGGAGGTCCAGCAACCGCAGGCTCCGCACAGCCAGGCTCAGCAGCTCCAGACGCAGCACCCCAAGGCGCAGCAGCTCCCGGCATAGCACCCCCAGACTCAGCACCCCCAGGCTCAGCAGCTCCAGACGCAGCACCCCCAGACCTAGCACCCCCACGCTCAGCAGCTCCAGACGCAGCACCCACGCGCACAGCACCCCCAGAGTCAGCACCCCCAGGCTCAGCAACCGCAGCAGGACCAGAGTCACTAGCAACCTCGACCGGCTCGACTGCGTCTACCTGGGACACACCTGAAGGGGCAGGAACCTGAGGGGGGAGGGGGTCTACCGGGGGGGGACCTGGCACAAGGAAGTCCGGTGGCGGGGGGAGGGAAGTAGTGCGGTAGGGGAAGAGGCGGTAGAAGGGGACGGACTCGTTGAACGTGACGTCCTGGGAGGACAGAACAGGACGAGAGGAGGGGTGGTAGAACTGCCACCCTGGAGTGTCAGGGGGGAAGCCAAGGAAGACACAGGGAGAAGCACGGGGGGACAGCTTGTCCGCAGACAAGTCGCGGACAAACGCTCGAGATCCCCAGACACGGAACGCAGACGCATAGCCGACCTTCCCAGTCCACAGGAGGGCCGGGGAGGTACGGACCTTCCCCGGCCGGGAAACCCCGGGGTGAAGGCTGATCTGATGCGCCGCGTACCTCACCGCAAACGGCCACAGAAAATGGGGGGCAG